AAAGGTAAGTTGGACTGCTTGAGTAGCGCCCTAGCTCTTTCAGTAGTTGTCCGATTACCGCTCTCAGCAATTGGATTTTGTTGAGGAGTGAAGGGAGCAGTAAAATTCATCTGGATACCTTCATGTTTGAGAAACTCAGAAAACTGCTTAGAAGTATACTTGCCTCCGTTGTCATTAACCATGGTTTTGATTTTGAGATTGGTTTGATTTTCCACAAGGGATTTGAATTGAACAAATTGAGAGAAAGTTTGACATTTTGATTGAAGGATATAAACAAATTTAAAATTGGACTTTTGGTCGGTAATTTTGAAATAGTATTTGCCACCGCCGAGAGAAGTAGGAGATATTAAACCACTCAGATCGCTATGTATTACAGAAAGACGATCACAGGCATTGGGAAGATGACTTTGGAAAGGAAGACGGTGCATTTTTGACAAGATACAGGGTTCACAAGAGTCAGGATAATGAATTCCAGGAAAAGCTTTTTCAAACGGAATTCGACCAGGATGTCCTAGACGCCTGTGGAGAATAGCTGGATTAACTTTTGTAGATGCGGTGAGTGATAATTGATGTGACTTGCCTAAATCTAAATTAATCTCCATAACTCCAGTTTTGGTGTCCCCAGTAAGAACCACGTTAGAGTCAACAAGGACGTTGAAACTAGAATCTTGAGAAAAATTGAATGTGCAACCTTTTCGCACAAGCGCAACCATGCTGACCAGATTAGTTTGAAGTTCTGGGACGTGAAGACAGTCTGAAATAGATACGGGTTTGCCGCAGTGAGAGCCGGTAACGGTTCCAATTCCGACGGCATTGATTTGCTGTCCGTTGGCAACATTGATTGTCGCGTGGAAAGGTCGATAACTAGCAAAGCTAGATCGTAGGCTGAACATTGATTGTGAGGCACCAGAGTCAAGGACGGGTTTACCGGTGAGAGTAGCATTAAAAACATAGGTAGTGAGAACCGTACCACTGATGGTGGCAGTGGCCGCACCGCGATTGGAAGATTGATTGTTCCGATTGGGTTTAAGCTCGGGATGAAGTTGAAAACATTTGGCTTCAGTGTGTGAAGTAAGCGGATTGTGAGTACCATTCAAACACCTCTCATAGCTAACGGCACGTTGTTCAGCGATCAACGCAGCAGGAGGTGGGGCTGAACCAGGTTGATAGTCTAACACTAATTGTTGAAGGTGTTCAAAGACTTGATCAAGAGTTAGAAGAGAGTCGGCGGTCTCGGCGGTATGAGCAAGTAGATCACGCGTGGAATGATAACGAGGAGAAAGTTTAAAAAGAAGCATGTGTGCTAAGATGTCGTCGTCGATTTTGAACGAGACTTCAGTCATCTCATGAGTGATACGACGATATTCAGTGAGAAAGGATTCTAAAGAGTTGTCGGTACATTTGAGATTGAGAAACTTTCTAAGAATTCGAGCACGATTGCGCGCTTTGGTGGAAGCATACAACTTAACCAACGCATCCCAGATTGCTTTGGGATCTTTGATGTTAGCGGCGTTGATAACAAGAGCTCGATTCTCTGGACTTAGTTTTCGCGAGATAAAACCAGCAGCTTTCTTACGACGTTTGATGTAATTGATCTTGATCGCTTCACTGGCGGTCTCGGCAGGTTCTTCTTCGGTACCGTCGACGATGGCATCGAGGTCCCATTCCATGAAGTGGGCGAGCATGAGTGGGGACCATCGCCGCCAGTCGTGTTTTAAAGGCGAAATGTCTTTAGCTTTGGTAGCGGAATTGTGATTCGACATTTCAGGAGAAATGTAAGGTGAAATAGAGGTGCTGATAGATGTGGATGTGGGTGACGATGGCGTAGGCTGATCGTGGTTCATAAAGTGGTAGCGCTAAAAATCTGATTTAAGATGAGTCGGCTGGGCTCATAACCTAATAATGTAGGCAATTCAGAGGTGATCTGATAAGAATCACGTATTAGTGATGTAAGCGAGCGCAAAGGCTGAGAATCACTAATGAGTGATGAGAAGAAGATAAGCACCTGTTGGAAGGTAGCAAATAAAGGACACGATAATGTTTGAGTGAGGAAAACAAATGACACGCAAACAAAAGGTCTTTATATAGGTAACTTCTCTAGACATAGGTTAACGTTCTTCTATCAGGTTTGTGAGTATCATGCACTGCTTTGGGACAAGAGTAAAACGTCTACAAATAGTTAAGGAGTGAGGTGTTCAAGAGAAAAGAAAAGGTATGATACCAGGACCAATGCGGAATTGGTAGCTAAGTGATTAAGTAGGATGTTGACCATTGCACACGTAATGTAACAGTTGAGGCCACAATTGGACCACCTAGTCTCTGTGCGATGCGGCCGAATATAAGCGAAAAATCCTCCATACACGTTCAAATATAATGAACTGATGAATATATTATTACTCACCGGGGAGAAAGGTCTATTCGCATCACAATCAAACGCGAGGGAACCAAACGTCACCGTGTTTCCAAGGGCGCCAACTGCGCCACCACGTAGACCCCCCTCGGGCGCGGTGCTTTGAGAAGCACTGCATGAAATGGGACCAGGACGTGGACCCGCGTTCACAGACTGGCGGGATATAGTAAAATAGTAATCAGCCGATGGTGTTGCGGCATCACACAAGTGGAATAGCTAACGACATCACCCACCGGTGCAGACAACGTGTTAGTTACGTTGAGCCCGGTTATGGGTGACCAGTTAGCTCGAGAGTTTGATTGCGACATATTTAATTTATGCTGAGGAATCCGAAAAAACCATTAGTTATTCCGAGCACATAAAATGAGACGTTGGAATGCAGATTTGGAACATACTTGAAAGAATCGGATTTAATTCTGGGTAGCTACGAAAAACCATGTCAGCTGCCCAACCCACACCGAGGGAGCTACCTAGACAACATGAAAAACACTGACCACACGAATATGGAATATGGAAATATGGAATTTTTTCGGTAGCTAGCAGGAAGGATGTAAGGCCGTTGTAAGCTGCGAAGAAAGTCACCCAACAGCGGCCTGAAGAAAAGTAAGATAACTAACCGGATATCAATAATTTGAGTTGCTGAGGAGAGCGGCCAACGGTCTTGATCCAAGACGTATATATATATATATCATCGATGCTGTATATTGGCGACCTTTCACAGAAGTTTATTTCTAAACCCATAGCAGATTCCTGCGAAAGAACCTCATGAAGGTTGTCCAGACGAGCCCAAATGGACAGAAGTGCAAGAAAGATCACATCCCCAAGGTCATCCAATCGGATGTTAGACGTCAAAATCCACTATTAGTAAGGAAATAAAAAGATCCTGAAAGTAGAACTTTTTATTTCCTTACTATGCAATGCGACGAATCTGGGGTGACACAAGGAGCAACATCATAAACTCATCTTTGATGAAGGGAAGAAGTCGTGCCTCCCTGAAACCATATGAGGCACGCCAAGAGGAAAAGCACTGAATCGCTAATCGCATCACGTATGGCGTCTCAGATGGCAGATTAACCCGATTTTGAGACTGGAATGTGAGAAAACGTGAAAAACGAGTCGTTTGGGTAATACGAAGACCTGGGAATCTGCGCCTGGTCCTTAATGAATTTTTTTCTCAACTCCTGAGGATTATCCAGAGTGGGGATAAAGTTTGAGGGCGATCAAGTCCCGCTGATCTTTGTGACCTACTTAGCCAAAACCGCTGCTCATCAGGATACCAATAGGCTTCAACCTTTTCAACTTTTAAATCACATAAATGGTTAAGTTTGGCTAGTTTTGGATATATCAAGGTGGTTTTCAACACATGACCCTCAGAGCTGATTCATCTTTTTTTCTTGACCCCTCATGCTGGTGTGAAATGCTTAAAATCAATTTCCTCCCAAGATTTTCATTGGCCAAGCCAAGTTTCAATCAGAGATATGATACAGATTGACCCCACTTTAACTTGACCAGACTTCACTTCAGAGTTACATATGTATATGATTGTGGGGAAGATGGATCTGAAAGTTGAAGATTTATGATCAGGGCAACTGATCATGATCTGCTGTTGATCTCAAACCTTTGTGCTCTTCATGATCCAAACTTTCATGAGAGTTGATATTACATTAACCTTGATTACTTGTGCCAACTCAGGGAAAAGATGTGCCAGAATACATGGTACAACAAATAGGATCATTTTTAGAAGACAGAACAACTAATCTCAGGCTACAGTTTCAAGGTTTCTTTGTGCATTTTCAGGCAGGTTTTTGTCACTCAGATACTTTTGTAAAGGCTTAGTAGTCATGTACAAAGATGTCTCAAAAGAAGTTGTAATCTTTATTGTTTTACAGTAGTCCTACATCAGACAGTTGGTGTGATATGTGAAATGAAAAGCACTTTAAAAAACTTACTTCAGAAATCCTTTAACCAAAGAAAAACTTTACTTTCAAAAAATCCAACGATAATGGTTGGTGATCTAAAACGAGAAAAAGATTTGGAAAGTTAATGATTGATTAAAATAATCAAAACTCCCCAAAAGATAAAGATGATTGAGCTGTAAAGAAAATCATAAAAGAGAAGAAAAACAGGAAAAAGCAAAAAATGAGTGTTTTCTTCCCAAGTGTTTTGGACTTGCACAACAATCAAGTTTGATTGTTGATATTTTGACGAAGAAAGACTAGCTAAAAGAAACAAATACATCAGTGGGTCAATGTTAAGTTGAGAAAGAGAGCTAATTAAATTGCAGTACATGAATGATAAACAGAAAGTGCAGATTTGAACCATTAAGTATTAGTGTAATAGACGGATAAAACAAAGAAGACTACAAAGGTAGAAAGATTAAAGAGATTTCGAAGACCCGAAGAGAATTATTCACATGAATCCATCGAAGTAATTATTTAAAACTGGTCACTAGGGTAGGAATCTGAGTATTGGGTGTAAATATTGGATTTATTGGGGACGATGGTCGAGTGATAAGCCAAAAGAAATTCTTCAAAGAGGTCGTCAGAGATGCAAATGAGCCTAATGGTGACGCTGCTTTGAAGTTACATTATCATCGTAGATCAAGATTACTACCCGAGAGGTTCAAATTACCAGTAGTCATCCCAGTAGTAAACCTACGCGCGATACTAACCATTTTAGCAAGTTCAGAAGCAGTAGGAGAAACAGGATGATTCGAATCTAATCCAGCCACTGCACAAACATGTATAACTCTTTCTAATAAATCAAATGCAGCTTCAACATCAAGTTCATCAAATATTTTCCTTTGACCAATTCCTTCTAACTTCATTTCAGCTCTTGCAATTCCTAGAGCATGTTTTAGATGTATAGCTTTCAAGATCACTCCCGCGAATGGGATTGGATATCTCTGAATTGAAACTGGACAAGTTGCTAAATAATCTCTTAGATCGATCGTAGTTCCTCTTTTCAATTTGTCAGCACAATCTTCTCTCATTCTTTTTTGCCCTCGTGACCCGGTTGGTATAGATTTATTCGTCGTTGAACTTTCTGCTTCTGTTGAGCTTTGCCATGGTGCAAGTTTAGGTGCGGAAATTGGAAATTGGCTCTGATCGCGAATTGGCTCTTCCCCGATGAAGCATTGGAGTAAGAAACAAGATTTCCTTACACCTTCGAAAGCGATCCTATATAGATTTTCGTTGACAGGCCAACTGTTTGGGTCTGGTGGTAGTCGAAAGAGGGCTGAGGCATAATTCGCCGTTTGTTTAGCCCTGGAATGAAGCGTGACATTTACAACAGTCAGTTTATCAAATAATCAAACTTTTGTGAGCATCCGAAACTTGCGATTGAGGACGTACTCGTAATGCATCCAGATCATCCTTGAAAGATAACCATGTCCACGAGGTTCCGTTCCGCTCCTGATGGGAGGTACACGAGCAGCCAGTAGATCATTGGAATCAGGAAACGAGAGTGCGTGATGAAAAGCTAGGGTCGGGTACCATGTTTCATTCCAATCTTTCAATCTCGCACGAGTTTCTTCAAATCTACTTGACCAGAGGGCCAAGCTAGAATTCAAAGAATGAAAATCCATTAGATTATCACCTGTAGAATCATTTAAATTCCATTCCGTTTCAAATTTCCATTTCTTTCTTGACCAATGGTGTAATCCAACCAGTTCAGCATGTGCACAAAGTATATGTAACTTATTAAAATCAGAGCCCATATCTTTCAAGTCGAGTAATTTTCGCATGTCTGTGATCGATCTTGAGCAACTGATATCGTCAGGTAGGATTAGATCATGTTGACTAAAATGACAAAAGATCATATAGAGCCAGATGAACAAGGTATATCGAGCCAATGCAGTAGGTTGATGCGGATCTGTTGCCCCGGGTGAATTGGATTGTATTCGTTGGTCAGGCTCGAACACGTCATTGTAAGCGTTGAAGAGAGCCGGACAACGAAGAAGGTAGAGAATGTGGGACGGAGCGAGGAATCGATAAGGTGTCCCAGGTGTGGATAAATAAATAGTGGCAACACACATTGATAGGACAATTTTATATCCCATCGGTGTGCCTGCATCTATGAAAGTAAAGAAACAGTTGATTTCGTTGGCCGAATGTAGATAAGGTGCATGAATTTGAAGAAATATGAGATCACTTACCAGTCCAAAAGATTACATTAGAAGGATCAGGATTTACAGAATCACCAATCAAACCTACCAAGTCTTGAAAAAGATGCTCAGATTCTTTCAGTAATGGCCTAAATAAGGCAGCTGAACGAGGTGAAGGGTGATGCGAAGAGCCATGCGTCAAAATCACCGAGCTAACAAACGGGTGAATGGTATTGGCCCATGCTGTGAGCTCAGTAGGAGATGAGTTGGGATTGGGCATCAAACTGAAAATCGGAATCTGCGTTCTATATCTGTCCTGAACGAAGCTGGTGAAAAAGAACAATAATGGGAGTTCAATCGACCCATGGAACAGCACGAAAGAGAAAAGAACAAAAGGCTAAAACTGATTGTCTCACTCAAATATTTCTCGAGCATGGTCATAAGTAATGACTTGAGAAGTACATGGCAACCTGAAAGGGAGATTATTATTTGAGTGATCTGAACGAGTCTCTGGACCTATCCCAGGGTCTAAGTTTGGACGAAATGAATCTCCATGCAGCTGATGAAAACTTTCTTCCGAATGCTGAGGCTTTTGTGACGTCGTGGGATGAGAGGATAGCCCAGAATGAGTCCCGTGTCCAATTGGTAAGAACGATAATCCAAGATGTAATTGGTGAAAGAAATCATGATCGGTCAACTGGCTTGGTTGATGATTAAGCTCACTATGATTTTGATGGTATGAATAAACGTTCGTTTGTAAAGAGACAGGTGGCGGTTGATCCTGAAGATCGGATGGCTACACAAATTCAAGCAATAGTCAGCGAAGTGCAAAGATGATGAAGTGATAAGATTTGAATAAAAATGTACGACATTGATGCTCGAAGGAGATGGAGTGGGTCGAAGTGTGTTGATGAGTAAGAATAGTTGGTCAACAGATTTGGTCAGGCTGTTGACCTTTTCTTCCATCTTCATTTGCCATGCTTTATCCTCCGGACTACAATCAACCAAGAAGGAATCAATGAGATCAATATACTGATCAGCATCCTAGGAAACATAATGACCACTTTTCCATTGGAGATCAAACTCAATCCGATGTCTTATATGGTAAGTCCGAGCACCTGTCCTTTCGGTAGGCTTCCGAGCATAGCTCAATAAATAAAACTAGATGACCGAAAGTGGTTCAACAGGAGATAATGTACTTTAAAAGATAATCCGTCCTTCGTTCGAAAACACAATCCAACATATTATTCTTACAACGTTTGCAGGGTGGGTTATCAGAACCTTCGCACCGCATCTAAAAATTTATCATAGAAAGTAAACGTAGGTTTCATTTTTCCTTGATGAAGAAAAGATTACTCACCTTTTGACGACGACAATGAAGACATGCTCGAGTGGTACGAGTCGATTTATTGGAACCATCTTGGTCCTTGCCCATCACTTCTTTCATCAGCACAATCCAATTGATTGTAAGTTTTAATCTGTCGAGTTTTATTGATCGGTGACTGGTTGTAAGGTGAAGAGATAATATACTTCAAAAAACCTTGTGCAAATGAGATGGTAAAAGAGAAAGAAATCGAAATGGAAAGTGGAGATTAAATTTCTTATTGCGGTTTATGTGGTTTATGTGAGGATCGATTAAAGTGGCATTATCAAAGCCTGACGATGATGAGATGAAATGCGCCAAATGACTATTTTGAAAGTATGATATCTCACCTCAATCAAATTTGTGCAAACATTTCGATTTTTTTCTTTGTTTCTTCTCCCCTTTTACACCTGATACAATTTGTGTATGTTGTACATCAAACTTTCTCATTCCATCAACTTTCTCAACTTTTCCCTCGCACAAACTTGAACGTTCAAGGAAATCATGAAAGCGTAACGCGTTTTGATTTACCGCGCACGGCCCTCAGTAAAGGTTTCGGCAAGTAACATGTGAATCAAGAGGTGAATTTGTTCACCAATTCCTTCAACTTGAAACACATTTCAATGATCTTCTCTGGCATTTGAAGTGATATACATGATATTCCAATCCTTGAATACCACCTCCTCCACTTCCTCCTCCATATCCTCATCCTGGAACACGACTGAGGGACTCCTTTTACATAAATGTGTCGGTGATCCCAGATATTGGAAATTTCAAGCAGCAAATTTAATAAGTTAAGCAGGGCCGATCCGGATGGCTGGGTCTCGTCCCCATACCATGTTACCAGCTGACCATGCAACAAGCTCATCTTTGTTATTGCGGTCTCTTGATACGTGGGGGTTTATGATAAGTGGGGACTGAGGAGCATCAGCAGCAGAACTCGTATTTTGCGGGCTCTCAACAATACAGGGGGTGAAAACACCAAAAAAACACTGCAGCGGTCCTCGCAAAATGCGAGGTGGGACGTCGAGAGTCTCCACACTCAGGGGAACATTCTGGACCCTTGATATCCGAGCCTAAACAATAAAGTCTAACCTAACGTCCCTCTTGGCAAGCTAGCCTGCCAGAGAGGGCCTTATCTTATCCACGAAATTTGTCACAGGAGCCAGAAGATTTTGGCTGGAGACTTTTTCCAACTGCTACATCTCATCACCTTCCAAATAAATATCCTCTTGTACAAAGAAAATCCTTGCTTATGTGCTTCTTTCACACATGCTCATCTAGGTCAATTTTGGTTGTCCTCTATTGCTGCTGAAATATTATGCACCAAACTCTTCAGAACCTCACGGATTTTTTACCAAGCTGTCCAAGCTGTAAGTGGCCAGGCAGTCTGGAATGTTACAGAAAAATATTATTCTCAAGTCTCTTGCTCAGCACTTTCCTGATAGAAATCAAGGGTGCCACAATACTATACTATACTATATCAGTATAGGTATAGCTGGGTATATACTCAGTATAGTATCTATTGATGACTACTTCCCACCAAAGGCACAACATGTGAAGTTAATTTCATCGTAGCAAGGTGGGTAAGGGGAGGCTAGGTGCACATGCAATATCACATACACAATAAAGTTGTGGTGGTAAAGCTACAGAGGGAAAGAGAGGAATTTTTTTCCTTCCCTTCTCCCAGCAGTTATTTACCCACACCAGTTGACAATAGAGCAACAAGGCTCTTCAAGTTGTTTAGGAGCCAGAAAGAATCAAATACTTCCAACTAGTAGAACATGTTGTGCAAGAGCTTGATAAATACAATTGGATGGCCACCTCTTTGATACAATGAGAGCAGGTAAGGACTTGAGTCAGGTAGCATTGGTACTCATGTTTATAAGGTTCGTGCATCTTTTAGCATAATACAGCCTATGAATAGACCCAAAATGTGGGAATCTTGGTACAAAATGATAATCAACTTTTGAACCATTGAAAATCTTCATTTTGTTTATATTCTTGGAACAAGCTCAATCAGCCTGGTCCAAAAATGTCCTCATATCAAGAGTGCAACTATACTATACCGGTATAGGTATAGTTGGGTATAGTATTGTTTAAACCATACTATACTATACTGGGTATAGTATAGTTGAACTATACTTTACCCAACTATACCTGGAAAAGTGTTATACATGTTTTCCATCAACTTATCCAACTATACTGCACAATATAATTTGGTATATCTGAGTATAGTTCATCTTATATACTACACCGAGTATAGTTCAAGTACAGTATAGCTTGACTATACTATACCAAGTATAGTCGAGTATAGTATAGTATAGTATAGTATAGTTGCAGCCTTGCTCATATGTAGTGTAGTGTAGCTTTGATTTGGAGAGGTACACAGTCAAAGTTGAAATCTTGATTTTGCAGGCCAGTGGTAGTTAGAATCAGGCTTTAGCAACTGTACCATGAATCATGCATTCATAAATCAAAAAATGGCAGCAGTGTAAAACTAGAGTCACTTGTTGATGATCATACATGAATGTGTGTCAGCAAGTCAAGAAAAAGTTGACTAAAGTCTGGAATTCTGTGTATACAAAAATGAAGGTCAAAAATGCAATGGCATGCTGTGCTTATGTTTATCATCATTGATTTTGATTTTTGCTTCTTGTGAAATAGGTTTCCAACAGGTATGATGTCAGCCCTGAGCCCTGTTTACAGGAGCATGGACTAACAAACACACATGTAAATGTATGTAATACATATGTAAATACATGTAACTTGTCTAAAACCATAAAAGCTACACCTCACACCGCGGGAATCAATAGGTGCAAAACCCAATTGGGGAAAGTTGCGGTGACCGGTGTAGTATTTAAAGCTCAACAAGAGCTTTACAACACCTAATTAGAAGGGATAATCTACTACGTTGAATATAGTAGAAGTAGCCTAAAGACTGCCTTCTTCAAAGAAACCAGCACAAGGGCACTTGCTGACCACTTTGTGATAACAGAGAAAAAGATAAAGGCACCAGAGAAATAAAGCAATACTGTTGTGTAGTATTATTCCCAGATTTTAAGCGCAAAAAAGTCCACACACTATGTTATTACTAGAAATACTGTTGTTAAGTATTAAGGGTACACAAACCTACAACCCGACATGAAACCCCATGTAAAAAACCCGTGACAACCCATCTGAATTTTGAATTTTCTTGACGGGATTTTTTTGATGGGTTGAGATCAGCCAGATTTTAAAACCCATATGAAAAAAAATAGTTGAGCAAATTGATCAATCATCACACCTTCCTCGCTCATGTGACTACAACACACCACCCCTACACAGCCCATACACCTCACAAATCACAGCCACACCAACTGCAACCAACTTCGTTCAAAAAGTTCTATCCTACTGAAGTCGTGTTTGTTTGAAGAGGATCTTCATTACATGATATTGTGTTTATGGAAACGATCTGACAAAACAAAAGGGGAATATGACAAACTGGAATCTGCTTCGTCAAGTTCATCAACTTGCAAAGACGATTGTTGGAAAATCAGACATAGAAGTTGACATGAATCAAAAAGAATCGATTCGGAAAAAGCATGATATAAAATTTCAATTCCATTGATTTTTCCTTTTTGTTAGGATTAAGAAGAACTTTAGGTTGTAGATCACTTGTACATTTTTTTGAATTGGCAATTTCAATGGATTCATCATAAGCTAAGATTGGAGAAGAGATCAATGATAGCACAAGTCATTGAAAGTGAAAATGAACCAAATGGCGAGAGCAATGATCAAGTTTGAATTTTAAATCTCCAAGACTCTTTATAACATCATGATTCATGACCACGTAAGCGATCCGTTCTTGATGTCCAAAATTTTTGTTTGCCTTGTTATCATGGTCAACACTCAAAAAGCAAGATGAGTTAGGTGAGGTGTTGAGATATGATAAGAGGCCTGCTGAGTGAAAAATCCGCATTTGTGAGGGGATGGGACAGGTTGGGGCGTACAAACCTGTCCAGGGCAACCCATGTAAAAAACCCGTCAAAAAAATGCAAAATTCAGATGGGTTGTCACAGGTTTTTTACATGGGTTTTCATGTTGGGTTGTAGGTCTGTGTACCCTTATTATTCCCAAATTGACTTATAGTCTTTAACACACGTAAATAAAATTCTCCTTGCTTTGAAGGGGTGGATTTAAGTGATCTTAGTACAAATATAGTAAATAAATGATGATTTATAACACTACAACAAAGGTATAAGATGCAGAAAGGGGAATAACAATCCCAAAATCATCAAGGAGTACTTATATCCACATGTAACAACCTCTACAATAGTCAACAGCCTCAAAAACCAGTCAAATCCGCCTAAAGAACCCTAAAAACCATGTAATGACACAATGTAATGATCTTGTTACTGATGTATGATGTAATTTTCACAGCCAAAAGTGATCAATGACGCAATGATTTAATGTACAGCACTTCTTAAGATGAATACAGGTGATTTTTTCCTTGTAAACTAGCTGCAAACCAATTTTTGAGATTACAATTTTTTTCAGATGTGGTCCAATTTTGATCTACTATAGTGCATCTTGTAGCCCTCGTGATACTGATCATTTATGCCACCCATATGACCTATTTCTGATGAGTGATGAGTAAGATATTGAGTTGTGAAGTTAAGGTTTTTGGTGTTACATGTTGATGTGACACTAATGATTTAAAGTTTGTACATTATGAAATACACTCTTCCGCGTTGAATGAGCTATCTACCAACCTAATCTGAAGTCATTTGACATATGTAATTAGCTGAAAACCTTCATTTTCAACAAAATTCACCCATTTTCTTCACTTTCCACAGCTGCTACTCCCTTTTTCTTGCTCATGTAATATGACATAATCTTCTACAACCTTAAAAATCCCGGAAAATCCTCTTGTCAACCTTAATTTCCATCACTACCACCACTACATATGTAATCTACACGTATAACCCTTGTTTACCATCCTTGAAAAAGTACCTTTCTACTAATAACTTCTGTTTTTCCTTATCAACCTCCAAGATTAAAGTTTGTGCTGAATAATAAAGTGTTGTTCTTTCATATTCTAA